TCGCGTCACACGTTTGGGCGAGTGTCAATGTCAATATCCGCCTCCCATCCAGGGCGCCCCATCTTCATCTTCTGCTTGATGTCGTACCTTGCGGAGAGCGGGTCCTTGTTGGAGAGTCTTAGCTCTCGCCTCAAGTTGTGCTCCACGGCTGTGCCAATTTCATCGAAGCGGTAAACTCCCTCGCCAAAGACACCGCCCACACCATCTGTGATGCATGTCCACTCATCCTTAACAATGTCGTAAGTGATGGACCGATCCACAAACCCCGCACGCAGGACCGTGAGGGGGGTGGGAGCGGCTGTTTCTGGCTGCGGGTTTGGACCGGCAATGGCCGGCCCGCGGTACGTGGGTAGCCGCACCGTGGCCGTGCTGAGGTCCAACGACAGGGTGTTGATCTCAGGCGATACCCAAAACATTGGCCATTGGCTGTTCGCAAGAGAGAGGCGAATACGATGGCCTTTCGTGAAACGATGAGCGCAATAGTTCAGCAGAACCCTGACACGAACCCGCTTCCCCTCTTGGAGGTATTCAATTCTTTGGTCGCCTGCGGCTTGTGTCACGTTCTTCACGCCAAAGGAAATGCGACTCACTGCGCCATCCGGCGAGACGTCGCTGAGCTGGGCGAACAGCATCGCCTTTGGCTTGTCACACGTTAACTCCACCTCGAAGACGGGACGACCCAAAATCTCCAGCTCGTGCTGCAGCTCCGCGGCGTCGAAAACCATCGCCATGCCGTCGTCCATACGTTGATCCGCGGGAGTTTCGCCTGAAACCCCAGCGCCCATCCACTCACCGGCAAGAAGACCGTGATTCAATGGAGTTCTGAGAAGAACAGGGGCAGGCTCCTGTCGCACGGCGTGAGCAACATCTACGATACGACCGCATTCAAGTCGCATCGTTTCCTCCGTAACATCTTTGGAAGGCCATGCCTCCACACCAACCCAATGGCCTTCGCTAACGGGGCGATGAACACTGGGTTTCATTTCATGCTCCATCCAAACCTGAATCATCGGACCATCCATCACGTTATTCTCCGTACCTTTTAGCCAATGATCCCACCACTTCACAGCCTCTTGTAAAAACCCCATTGCCGGCTGCGGGACGCCATCCTGCGGATAAACGTGTGCCCAAGGCCCCACAAATCCCTTCCGGGGAACCTTCAGGTTTGACAGCAGGTTAAAAACGGCATTCGTGTAGGCGTCCGCCCAGCCATCTACAGCCATGACAGGTATCTGAATGGAATCGTAATTTTCGCAAACAGAGCCATGCTTCCAGTAGTCATCGTATTTTTGGTGCTCAGCCCAGTCAGCAATGTTGATGGGCATATTCTCCAGGCGTTGGAGCCACATTTCTTTCCAACGATCACCAACAATTTCTGGATCGATTGGACGTGCCTGATACGCCAACATAATGGATCCCCACCAGAAGTTGTCGTTGAGGAGACAGCCACCCTGCCAATGAATGTCATCCGTAAAGCGATTGTCGGTAAATCCGACCGTGATGATAGCTTTTAAAGCAGGTGGACGACGCACCGCAACTTGAAGAGAATTGAAGCCTCCCCAAGACTTCCCCATCATGCCAACATTGCCATTGCACCATTTCTGCCTGCTGATCCATTCAATCACCTCCACAGCATCGTCTTGCTCCTGTTGCAGGTATTCGTCATGCATAAAGCCATCCGATTCACCGCTCCCACGCATGTCCACACGAACGACCGCGTAGCCATGGCCTGCAAAGTAGCCGTGCATGGGCTCATCACGACCACGTGTACCATCGCGCTTGCGATAAGGGATGTACTCCAATATGGCTGGTTGGGGCACATCATCTGCCGGAAGCCACAGCCGGCACGAAAGTCGCGTGGCATCCCTTAGTTCAATAAAGACATTTTCGATGTTTTTGACTTTGTTTGGAAGCGTGGAGACAGCAACCTTCCGCATTCTTGCCGATGGATCCCCAATGCGACCCGCCTTTACACCTCTTTTCCCCTTTGAATCGGCTGCGGATGGAATGTTGTGTCTGTTCAGAAAGACAAATGTAAACTTGTGCTTTCCTCTTTGCCTCCGGGTGTGAGTGAATGTGTGAAACAAACTGCCGCCACCACCTCCAGATGAAGTACAACAAAATAGAGAGGAAAAAAAAAAGGGAAAGGCCACAGCCCACGACATCCATAAATAAAAAACAGGCATGGAGAGAGAGAGAGAGAGAGAGAGAGATAGATAGAGCAAAAAAGACGCCTCCAGAAGGAGCAGACGCCTCGGCTTCCTCCCACTGCTGACGCCGCACCGGCAGGGTCGTCTTTTATTGCACACCAGCATTCACCGCCAATCAATGGCCTTCGTAAATGCCCAAATTCTTCATGATTCGCGAGAGGACAGCCTTTTCTTCAATCACACGGTAGTGGTGCAAGCGTGCGTACAGACTGGCATGCCCCTTCACCGCCTTCCGAAGTTCCATTGTGTAGCGAACTATGTTTCGCATCGGGACGATTGCTTTCACCGACCTCCCATCATCTTGAATGTCCACCGCAATGGCCTTCCGCTCGCTCAGAGAGCTCACAACACCACCAATGTAGGCTGCCTCCGAGAGGTGCACCTCCACCTCCATCATTGGCTCCATCGTGGCAAGATTGGCCTTGGAAACAGAGCGAAACAGCTCCAATACAAGGGAACGAGCGGCCTGCTGTAGAGGGCCCTCCGACAGCTGCGTGCCACCAAGCTTTTTGAATTCCAGCAAAGCGACCCGCACGCCGTGGAGAGGCAAACCGGCAAGGGGACCCATGTGAGAACAATCGGTGACTGCGCGAGAAAAAACATCGGTGATGATTCGTAGTTCCTCCTTCACATTACGGTGGTGATCCTCCATGCGGCGACGTCGATCATTACGGGAACCAGCGGCTCCAGCAAGATATTTCTCCGTCAACGCCTCGTCAATAACAAAGGAACAACATTGACCTGGATCGCAGAAGCCATCCTCCTCAAGTAGTGGCTGGAGTCGCAGCGAACACTCAACGTATGGGAGCTCATTGTACATCCCAATCCCATGCAGTAGCTCCACTGTCTCAAGGACTACCTCACGATATTCTACGATGGCACGTAGTAGTCGACACTTTAGTTTATAATCGTGCTCCAAGCGGGACATGACAATTTCAAGATGTAATTCTCCCATGCCACTCAAGACCATTCGACCAAAATCATTCTTATGCACACAGAAGATAGGATTTTTGACTTCCTCGTTTTTCAAAAATAAATCCGATGGCCCGCACGCTGGCCACCATCGCCGCGCCGCTCGCCCCACCACCCACGCTGCCCGATTAATTTATTGGCGGCAGAACCCCGGAATCAGAGTCGCCGCGGCCGCTTCCTCGGAACCTCACCCTCGTCTCCTTCCGCACCCTCCGCGGATGTCGGGTCGTCCGCTAGAGGCGGGTCAACGACCGGTATTGGGTGGCCGCTGATGTTCGGGAAGGTGGTGCACACATCGGCGTATTGGGGGCACACAATGCTCCCACGCCAGGGACCCGATGGCGGCGTGACGGTCTCACCCTCCTGGCACTCGTGCCACGCATCGTCATCAAGGAACCGCACGCTCACTGTGCCGTCGCCGCATCGAGTGTCCACACACACATCGCCAATGTATTCGTCGTCGAATTGAAGGTCCTGCCCCTTCACGCACCGCGAGTTCGGGCCAACAATACTGCCAGGCATTCCTGAAGGATCGCCGTTGGTGCACCCACCATTAGAATACTTATTGACATACGGGCATCTGCTCATGTAGAGGCCATCACCGCCAACTCGGGGATCAGCAAAGTACTGATACTCCTGTGGCAGGGCTTCCTCGTGCCTCTTCAACATACAGAACCCCAGAGACAGACGGTCGTACGTGCAGAAGAACTTTGGATCGTCGTAAAACTGGTTGCAAAACAGTTGAGGGTATTCGGTGATGCCGTCGGTCAAGCACTTCTTTTCCAGCAGCCCACAGCCAGAGTTGTTGCCCCACCACAACATCTCCGCCGCACTGTAGTTTGCCAAATAAAAACCCATGTCCTCGAATGCTGCAAGCGTCAGTGCCGAGTACAGCCCAACCCCCATATCACCATTCATCAGCTCGTCCCTCATGTTGCGTTTCCTCCAATGCGACAGTACGGTTTCAGGACCACCCTCGTCCTCCAGCTCAATGCCCTCAAGCGTGGGGCAGTTGTGGTACTGACGCGCCATTGCCTTCGTCTTCGGCGTTGAAACCACCGACACCTTGGGCATCCCGCGCACGTTCGGGACCTCGGAAATCATATGTAACATCAAAAAAAGCTCTCGTACGAACCCAAGAGCATGCCCCAACTCGTGGGCTGCTGCACGCACGTATACATTTGTCGTCACTATTTGCCTCGGGTCAAAGTTCACGGCGGCAACAACTGGACGGCCATCATCCAGCCAAGCGCACTGAACCGCCCATGCGGTTAGACCAGAAGTCGGAAAAATATTGGCGTAGAGAATCATGTCGGCGCCAGCCACACCCACCGTGCGGTGCCTGCGAGGGATGGTGAAGTTATCGCACATACCCAGGCTGGTGTGCGGAATAACGATGGGACCCGTCACGGGCCTCACGGAGAGACGCTCCGAGTGCAGTTGAATGGCGGCGGGGAGAATTTGCCTCAAAACAATGCTCCTCCTCTCCTCCGTCAACACGTCGTCCGCCTCGCATGTTATTGCGCGGCCAACGTGGTCAATGCGCGGATCCCCCGCCGCAGTGCAGTGCCTCAACGGGTCGTACATGTCCTCCGCGGACACCTTGATGCGGATCGGAGCCCAGCCATCGTCCCCATCCTCGCTGGCGGCGGTGTACGCCTGCACGGCGCCCTGTCCCCGGCGCGGCACCTCACGCACCACCGCGGTCGGCAGCCGGCCGTATTTCTTCATCATCGCGTCAAACCCGCAGCGGTGCTTCACTGCACGATCGGCGGCAACGCAAACACCGGCGCAACACACCACCATCATGAGCCACGGCAGAAGCAATAGCAGCAGCGCGGTGTGGCGTGACTGGCGCATGGCTTGGGGACAATGTGTCTGTTCCTGAGGTGCGGGCAGCAGCAGTGGTACTAGTAGTGGTAGTGGTGGTGGTAGCACAGGCCTTGTCTGCGGGAGGAGAAGCAGAAGGAGGAGGAAAAGAGCAGAGGGGCAAAGGGACGCTGCAGCCACGAGAGAGAGGGGCAGCAACACAAATTACCGCAGCGCACACACAGACAACAACAAAAATAAACAGAGCCTCCAAATAAAGCCAAAGCACGGAATAATGTTCGCCTGGGCTGCTGGCCGGATCCTGAACTGATACGTATAAATAAAATAGGACGGGAAAGAAGAGGGCCATGGAGAGGCAGCGGCCTCGCCACATCCTCAATGTTTGTCCCAAGTACATCTACGTATTCTGACAGGCACTCTCGTGCCACGGTGCGGTGTATTCGGGTTGGAGACATTTATTACCTACGAAGTGGAAGACTTTTGTCCCCTCCAGCCAAAAGACCCCGCCGCAAGGTCGGAATCAAAGAGGGTGGATGTCAAAAATAAAAATAGAAATAAAGTTCGTCGTGCCGTCATCGGTTCCTTAACTCCTTCCATCGGGGCCTTCCAAAGGACCATAAGATGGGAAAAGGATCACACGGAAATATTTTCTACGTTTTACCAGGACATATATTAAATTGGGCAGCCAGCCCTCTCGCTAGCATTCCTTCTCACAGGCACTGAAAAACACCAGCACCCCATCTACGCAGTGGCACGCACACTGAGTGAGGAGCGGGCACAGGAGAGAAAAGTATAAAAAATAGTCCGCGACTTGATTTCCTCCAGCACAGGACAAGGAAAACAAATACAAGCACCTCGCACCCTCGTCATGCTGTCGCCATGGCCGCGACGGATGCATTCCGTGGCCCACGGCGAGTCCAGCGCGACTCCCCACTCCCACGATCATTCATCACTGACGAAAAGGGGGTGCCGAGTGTGTCTTTCGCCCGCCTCCCACGCGGGGCAAGAAGGATCGGGTCGGGCGGGCCTCCGCACCAATAAGCGGAGCAAAGAGGACACGGCTGGGGAGTTTTGCCGCCCACTCGTAGGGCCCGGCCATTCCCCCGCAGCCAAAATGAATAATAGTAAAACACAGGAGAGGCCCGCCTGCGTGGGGCGACGCGGCGAGCGCGCTCGTCCCCGCCCTCAGCACAGCAGTCACGGACACCCCCGCACCCATTGGGTCACGGCGACTTCCCATCGCCTGCCCGCATCAGAAGACGCACGTGGGTGCATGCGATGCTGGGACTCGTCTCCTCCCTCCAGATCACTCCGCCACCACGCGGTTGCGCAGAAATTCAATCCTCCAGCTCACAAATATCCGTTAAGCCACGCGTCGCAGGCACAAAAAAACAAATACACTCATTGTCCGTTTTTCAGAAGCGAGGAGAGAAGTGGTGCAACAACTGCACGATGCTATCATTGCTGCTGTGCTGCGTCCCGCGAGTACGGGGCCGACGGGCCATGTGAGCATCACAGCACTTTCGCACGCCGGCCACCATCGCCGCGCCGCTCGCCCCACCACCCACGCTGCCCGATAAATTTATTGGCGGCAGAACCCCGGAATCAGAGTCGCCGCGGCCGCTTCCTCGGAACCTCGCCCTCGTCTCCTTCCGCACCCTCCGCGGATGTCGGGTCGTCCGCTAGAGGCGGATCAACGACCGGTATTGGGTGGCTGCTGATGTTCGGGAAGGCGGTGCACACATCGGCGTATTGGGGGCACACAATGCTCCCACGCCAGGGACCCGATGGCGGCGTGACGGTCTCACCCTCCTGGCACTCGTGCCACGCATCGTCATCAAGGAACCGCACGCTCACTGTGCCGTCGCCGCATCGAGTGTCCATACACACATCGCCAATATATTCGTCGTCGAATTGAAGGTCCTGCCCCTTCACGCACCGCGAGTTCGGGCCAACGACACTGCCAAGCATTACTGAAGGATCGCCGTTGGTGCACCCACCATTAGAATACTCCTTGACATACGGGCATCTGCTCATGTAGAGGCCATCACCGCCAACTCGGGGATCAGCAAAGTACTGATACTCCTGTGGCAGGGCTTCCTCGTGCCTCTTCAACATACAGAACCCCAGAGACAGACGGTCGTACGTGCAGAACGTCTCTTCATCGTCGTCAAACTGGTTGCAAAACAGTTGAGGGTATTCGGTGATGCCGTCGGTCAAGCACTTCTTTTCCAGCAGCCCACAGCCAGAGTTGTTGCCCCACCACAACATCTCCGCCGCACTGTAGTTTGCCAAATAAAAACCCATGTCCTCGAATGCTGCAAGCGTCAGTGCCGAGTACAGCCCAACCCCCATATCACCATTCATCAGCTCGTCCCTCATGTTGCGTTTCCTCCAATGCGACAGTACGGTTTCAGGACCACCCTCGTCCTCCAGCTCAATGCCCTCAAGCGTGGGGCAGTTGTGGTACTGACGCGCCATTGCCTTCGTCTTCGGCGTTGAAACCACCGACACCTTGGGCATCCCGCGCACGTTCGGGACCTCGGAAATCATATGTAACATCAAAAAAAGCTCTCGTACGAACCCAAGAGCATGCCCCAACTCGTGGGCTGCTGCACGCACGTATACATTTGTCGTCGCTATTTGCCTCGGGTCAAAGTTCACGGCGGCAACAACTGGACGGCCATCATCCAGCCAAGCGCACTAAACCGCCCATGCGGTTAGACCAGAAGTCGGAAAAATATTGGCGTAGAGAATCATGTCGGCGCCAGCCACACCCACCGTGCGGTGCTTGTGTGGGATGGTGAAGTTATCGCACATACCCAGATCGGTGTGTGGAATAACGATGGGACCCGTCACGGGCCTCACGGAGAGACGCTCCGAGTGCAGTTGAATGGCGGCGGGGAGAATTTGCCTCAAAATAATGCTCCTCCTCTCCTCCGTCAACACGTCGTCCTCCTCGCATGTTATTGCGCGGCCATCGTGGTCAATGCGCGGATCCCCCGCCGCAGTGCAGTGCCTCAACGGGTCGTACATGTCCTCCGCGGACACCTTGATGCGGATCGGAGCCCAGCCATCGTCCCCATCCTCGCTGGCGGCGGTGTACGCCTGCACGGCGCCCTGTCCCCGGCGCGGCACCTCACGCACCACCGCGGTCGGCAGCCGGCC